CCGCGTGGGACGCTCCATTCTTTACCCGGCGGCGCGTGGGCGATGTGACGCCACCCCCCTCCCGTTGGGTCCCACCCGCTACCCTTTGTGTTGCCACAGGAGTGGGAGTGAGAGGGGTCGGGGGTCACGCCAACCCCAGGCTGCGCGCCCATCCCTGCCTGACCCCAAATGCACTCCAAACCCAGAAGGGCCACATCACCCCATTTATCAATCGCGCTCGATAACCATGGAGCAGCGGGTCACGGAATAGAACTTTCCAACCCTTACAGGAGAACCAAGATCAGGACCCCAATTCTCCACACTTACAGGCGTCCAGCAATGACCCAAAAACAGCTCATCTCAATTAAAACAGCAACAAATCACTACCACCAAAAACAGCAAATAGCAAAACTGTCGCTTGCCCTGAAAGCCAATCAAACAAAGGAAAATTATCTTAACACTCGCATTCAAAGAGAGCAGGGAGTCAGCAGACAGGTGAACATTCCCATTTCTCAGATTCCAGATTGGCGGATGACTCCATAATTGCCTAGAACAGTATACAGATTAATATGCCCTCTATCCATGCCATACATACCACATGCTGCCAAATGTCAAACGTAATAGACTTTAAATAGAAACAATAACGGTAAAGCAACTTAAAAGTATAAAGTGTTTACATCATACATTAAAAAAAGCAAAAGGGTGGACCATTCTTTATATGACTGGTATTTTTCTTTATTCTTTACAAATCTGTTCTCTATATGGGAAAAGTATGTTCTACCCACGATGCATCAGGTGGGCTCTTAGATACCTTTTTGTTGTACTGCAATCACAACTGTATCGTTCTGTTAAGAATACGCCAGGCAACAGGTTGCTTAGAAACCACGCTGACATCTGGCAACAAACCAGGAGAGGCCTTAGAAACTCAAAAAAAAAAAAAAAAAAAAAAAAAGTCAAACTGATGTCATTATCTACGGTACTTCTAAAATTTGGATGGGATGAGGAGAGAGAGAGAAAAAAAAAAAAAAAAGTCAAACTGATGTCATTATCTACGGTACTTCTAAAATTTGGATGGGATGAGGAGAGAGAGAGAAAAAAAAAAAAAAAAGTCAAACTG